TGTACGGTACATATCTATTGAAAGTTAAATTCAAATTTTCATTAAATTTGTGGATGTAATAAGGTGTCCGAGGTTGCGGAATAAATATATTAAAATTATATTAGAAAATAAATGTTGCTAAGGAGAAAAGTGCATTGTCATATCAAGTTACAGGAAATATGTAAGCACTTGGAAAGAATTTAAACATATTTATAGATATAGTGCACCAAAATCTTTTACTTATTTTCAGGACAATATAATAATATTGCATAATCCAGGCCCTTTTGTTGTTGCCTAGCAACCTTCCCTTTGGAATGCAGACATGGAAAACTGACATAAAAAATAAACTAATATGTAGGCTACAAATTATACAAAATAAATGGATTCAGAAAAAACTGGTAATTTGCTCATCCGATTATTTCTTTATTAAAAAATTATCTGTGCTTAGATAATTAAAATTGAACTCTGTTACTAAGGAATACATGTGTTGCTAAGCAACCATTTTATTTCAGATTGTTCGTTTATGACCCAAATGTGTGCTTGATTCTTGACTTCATAATACAAGGTTCATATTAGAATAAATTGGGGAAACATACGTTCCTTAAAAATATTTCATTAAGAAATTAACCTCAAAAATTGTTAAAATCTGTTTTTTGTAGGGGCTACATATTTACATTTTTGAACGCTTACCCAAATTTTATTTTTACATTTATAGTTGTTTGTACCTGTACTATTAAGAATACAATAAAGGGCAATAACATTGCTATCCGGATTTTAAGATAAGGCAATTAAATACTGTGCAAATTATATCAAGGCAAATTTATTCTTTACGATAATAGAGTTGAGAAATTACTTTGTTACAGTATTGATTTCCTGTTTAATTGAAAAATGCATGTTTTACTACGTTTTGGGGTGGTATTTTGACAATTATCTCAGGAAATGAAATTTGCCATGGAAACCAGTGGATTTGGAAAAAAATATACCATTTTCATCTTTTTTGTGATACATTACATGCAACACATCATTAAACATGAAAAAAAATATTTCTTTGACATTTCATTCAGAGCGCAGTGCTTGCTGCATGACATGGTCTCTTAAAAATGTGATTAAGGATACAGACGTGGAAAGGCAACCAATATGAAAATAAGGAGATGAGGTATGATTGCCAATGAGACAACTATCTACAAAAGTTCAAATAAAGTGGATGTAAGCAATTATAGGCATCCTTCAACAATAAACCAACAACCACTGAATTACAGGATCCTGACTTTGGACATGCACATAAAGAATGTGGCGGGGTTTAACATGTTTGTGAGCGCTCCCCTAACCTGTGACAGTGGTGTAACAGCAGAACATAAGAACAAACTATAAAAATCAGTTGAAAAAGGCTTATCTCATCAGATGGATACAAAGCAGAAAAACATCAAACATAAACGAAGACCGGACGTGGCAGGGTATTTATCCATCCAAGTGCATTTATCAGTAAAATAAAGAAACAATGTAAAAATTGATGTTTTTTTCTTCTGATGCTATTTCGTAATCATGAGAAAAGCTTCTGTTAAAGTGCCGTGAGATTCTATGAAGGTTTGACAAAGTTATTGATGTCTTTAAAAAAACCTGGAACCCCAGATTGTAAGCCTAAATGTTTTCGACGGAATTTAGGATTGGTGAGTCTCGCTACCTTGACATAAAGTTCCATACCCAACAAATATAAGTTATATTTTTGTTTTTCGTTCATTATTTTGTACTTAAGTTTAGTTTTCTCGTTTGAATTGTTTTACATTTGTCATTTCAGGGCCTTTTATAGCTAACTATGAGGTATGGGTTGTGCTCATTGTTGAAGGCCGTACAGTGACCTATAGTTGTCAATTTCTGTGTCATTTGGTCTCTTGTGGAGAGTTGTCTCATTGGCAATCATACCACATCTTCTTATTTCTATATGAAGTCTATTTAATTATAAATTGCTTTCCTTCATTTTTATACTTGCACCTTCGGATTCATATTTTTTTGTCCCTTTTAGTATCTTTTTACCCAAAAGATGCTTGACAATTGTTCGTATGATGTTTGATATTTTCGTTTCGTGTATTGTAACAATTAAACCATTTTAATTAAAAAATTGATATTTCCTTAGCACCCCGTATTACACTGAAAGAAAATAACGAGACCATTACTGAAACAGAAGAGGTTGGTGAGGGTATATGCATGGTTATACATCTTTCTGTTATTTTCAGAACATTTGGAACATTTTGAAATTTTAACATTTTTGCTGTTTCCATGGTAACGGCAGCAATTTTGAAAATTCCAAAATCAAACAGCAACTCTTCACAAGCCAGGTGACATTTCTCTAAAATTTCATTAAGTTTAGAGCATTTTGAATTTTTTTGCATTGTTTCCATGGTAACGGGAGCTATTAATTTTGAAAATTCTAAAGACAGATGCCACATGACATGTTACATTTCAGCGAAGTTTTATCGTGTTTGATCTACATTCTGTGAGAAAATGCTTCCTTTATGTGTTTTCTCATATGGTTCTATGTTAAACTTTTTCTTTATATGTTTGTAATTTCCATGGTTACGGCGGCCATTAAAAAAATTCCAAAAGTGTCCTGCACAACTTCATATGGTGCTTCTCATTATGCTGCAGCTTCAGTCACATTGATCCAGAAGTCTCTTGGAATTGCCGCGGACATAAAAGGTGGAATAATAATAATAATAAAAAAGATGCAGAGTAAAAACATTCGTTCGGGGTGACATAATAACTCCAACAGTTAATGCTAAAATGAACAGGCTAAAAGGTCAAATAAAGTACGAGGTCGAAGAGAATTCTTGGACCCGAAATTCAAAAAGGTTTTGCATAATACAGCCAAGGTAAAATTAGACAAATGAAAACGAAGGCGTTAAAGACTTTTAAAATCATAAACGGCCATGGCAAGCTCCTCCTCAGTAGTCTAAATGATCTTGTCACTAAAAAATCAAACAGCAAGCATGCTTTTAGATATGTAAATTTATTGGAATTTCCATCAATTAAAATAAGTACTTATGGAGAAAAAAAATTCGGTATGCTGCACCTATATTATGGAATTCACTGTCCGAAAACTTCAGAAATGAAACAAATTATAATCAATTCAGAAATTTATTTTTATATTGTAATAGGATTGCCTGCAAATGTGCCTTGTAGATGAAAACAATTATTCTTCTTTTTTTCTGACCTTTTATTGTTTTTTAACTACATGTTCCAGCAGATGTTTAATTCGTTGAGATTCCTAGTATTAATATTATAGATATTATTTTTAAGATATGCCTGCCATCTTGTTTCTGATATTAAATTTGCATGAATCGTTTTACTGTTATGTACCGCTATATGTTTTTATTGTCGGAAAAAAACCCTTGTGTTTTCTTTGTTTTACAAACCCGACTTTAATGATCTTTATGAAATTTATCGTATCTTATATTAGTGTATGCCCTAGCGCGATCAATGTGTATAAAATATATAAAAATACCGAATTCCAAGGAAGATTCAGAACGGAAAGTCCCTTATCAAATGGCAAAAACAAAAGCTGGCAAACGAATGGAAAACAACTGTCATATTCCTGACTTGGTACAGACATTTCCATATTTCATAAATTGACACTTAAATTTAAATTCCGTTTGTGTAATACCATAGATATAGTAGCCATATCTACAATGTATATCTATGGCTATTACAACTAACGTGAGTGTACCCAAATTGCACCTATTTTGACAGTTTTTTTCACCCATGTTTATTTATGATCCAAAGTTTCCATTCTGTGTTTATTTTGTAGATGTATCCTTATTTACTACATAGTTCCACCAATTTGATTTTGAATCATAGAAAATGGATTTGAATTCACATCCGTAAAAAATCGAGTAACAAATGTTAGTTTTAATTCTCCAGATATTTAGAACAATTTGACAATAGTCCATGCTAACTATTATCTTTTTAAGAAATGGATTCCTGTAACATATTTTAATGATCTTAAATTGCTCATTTTTAAAAGTTGACTTTTTGTGTACGTCGCATGGCGCGCGACGCAGTGGCACGACGTTTCCGTAGAAGTTACTTTTTCCAGTGAATACTTCATCTGTTGATATATACTGTGAACGTTTTGTGTATATTTAAATATATTGAGCTATGACGAAAGACGTGTTTAACGTCATATCATAAAAGTACAAATTTTTTATAGTCTCTAAAAAAAATTGTACGATTTCCGCTGTTATTTTTGCTAAACGGGTGCAATTTGGGTACTGTGACGTTTTGGTAATACCATGGTAATACTAACTGTACATCTAAATACACAATGAATTCCTTGGTGAAATCCGAGAAATATAAAATTGTATTCTGACATATATATATCTGAAGTAAACTATTCCTGATTTTTTCCCTCAGAATCTTTACTGCACCCCTACAATCAAATGGTTGCTTCTTTTGGAGAAGTTCATCTGCGTGACGTAACGCCCGGTGACGTAAAATTCAAAACAGACGTTGTAAACAGACGCTATCCACGTTCTTAGCACCAGCATAGCACTTCACTTTTCCCGCTGGATTGACATTTGTATTTCCCTAAAAAAACGTAAGTAAACTGAAAAAGTGCCTATAAACATGAATTGATAAAATTAAGATTGACGATACGGATACTTGAAACACGAACGTATGGGTTACAGAAGCAGTATCTGTGAATCACTCAATCAGCTGATTTTGACACTGACCATGTTCAGCAGGTCTCGTGCATATTTGCGTACATAATTATACAAATGTGATATATTGCTCATTAACATAATACTTTATTGCCATGTATAAATTGTGTATCATTATGCTTTGAATATGCACATGAAACTGAAAGTACGGTTTTACATATTTGGTCATTACCATCAGAGTTTTATTGTATGTCTCGGTTATCATTTTATATGTAATTTAAATGTGCTCTGTTATTATACTATTTCCAGATGTGCTTGTTTAAAGAAATATTTTTAATTTCAATCTCTTATTTTCACAGCTGTTCATCAAAATTTCTCTTTTGGGAAGCTATTCATGGAAAAGTGTTCGATTTCGTCTGATAGAGCAGGTGCTCGTCGGACAACAGCAGACGATACGGCAACATCATGGATTTTAGTTCAAGATAGCAGTGGCGAAACAAGATTGATGACACAGGATGAACTTGAAAGATGTCACAATGTTCCCAGTTTTATAGGGTATGCATATAAATAATTCTATGATCTTCTAGACTAATGATATAAAATCGTCTTCTCTTGAACAAGTTGAAGAACTGAAAAAAGCTCAAAATGAAGACAGCAAATGACCAGCAGTCGGCAACATTATTTTAATATCAAAATATTTATATTTACTGCAGGATCGTCGATATTACGAAACAGAAATTAGATGAAATCTTAAAGGAGAAGGTATGTTGAGACAAGTGGTTGAGACAAGTCCAAATAATTATGAGGTTTTGAAAGGCTATTTAATTTATTGCTGAAAAGCCTTCCTACTCTGCAACTGCCTTTCAACAGTTCAAGAGGTCATAAATATCAGGAGTGGATCCAGAAATTTATAAAAATTCAATTTTGTTTTATTGATAACTATGTCATGAAAATTGTAACAATTAAAGCTAATGGTTAAACAGGGAACTTATAAAATTGATTCCAATTTCATTTTTCGTGGATGCCTGCATGCCTGTAAAAAATGTAAATTATAATGCATGTGCATCTGAGTACTATAAAGTTTGTATATAGACCGTCTTTTTCTCGATATTATCAAGGAAAAGCTACAGTTTTGGCTCTACTTTTTTTACACGGATCGTCACCTTTCGGAAATTTTTCGTTTAGTCTGGTACAAGCATGTGCCATACCAGTTAAAGGTTTGTTTGCTAGGATTCCACAATTGCCAACCCCACATAGAGCACAATATGTTATTATATATATATCTTTATTGCAAAACATGAAACTGGCGGGTTAAAATGCAAACATAGTACATTGTATACACAAGTGACAAGAAACTTAATACATGATAAATGTTTTAAACAAGTCAAGTTGATATTAATAATATATATATATATAATAATTGACCAATGTATATATACAATAAGCTCCTTCTTTTAAAGAAGAGTATAGAAACCAGTCATATTGAATCAGTCAATTTCTCTGAAAGTCTGTTCTTTCCTGTATATTTCTGCTACTGTATGGAAAAGTTATAGTGTGTTCCTGGTTAAAAATGATTCCTTATCAAAAATTAAATTTATTTGTTATTTGATGTGTTTATTGCTTCACGAGGCCCATGTTGTTTATACCTATATGTATGTCGGAGGTTGTTTTACAGTGGTTCCCAAGGCTATGAGAAATCAACTGGACATTTGGTTCAGTAAACCATTCTTCTTAACTGGACAATACTCTTTTTTACAGGACATTTATACATATGATTTGGACAAAATTAAAAATTTCAAACAAGAGGTGTTTCTCAACTACAATCTCATCGAAGGGCTGTTGATATTAATCAGTGGAACTTTGTTGTCTGGTTTTTATCCATTTGTTCTCATTCTAAATATGCATGTTTTAATTTGTCACAGAGCAAACAAAAATCAATTAGCCAATGAAAAACATCGTTATTTTTTTCTGCTTCATATTAAACACTTCTGTTTTGAATCTAGATTTTTCAAAAAATGTTAGTAAAGTTTGTTCTATTGCAGAACAGTTTGTCCTTCTACAATTGTGACAAGAACTTAGAAGATTATAAAATTACTATCTAAAATACAGACTGAGTGCATTTGTAAGAGATAAATTTGTCCTGGTAAAATATGTCCGGGCGGACATATATTACTAGTATAAAAAGTCCATGGTTACAGAATTTACTAGTAATTTTAGTCCGATGTTAGTAATTTATGTCCCCAGACAAATTTTCCTAGGAATTCAAGTCCATGTCATTAATATTCCTAGGTAAAAACGTCCATGTCCTTTTTTTTATAGGAAAAAATATTAATGAATCAAATCATTTACATTTAAACAATGAAAATTTAAATGTTATGTTTAATTGTTTAAGAGTTGTGTATTTATAGTTTTGATAAAATGTATGTCCCCAGACTAATTTTCCTAGGAAATCATGTCCATGTCATAAATATTCCTAGGAAAAACGTCCATGCCCTTTATTTTAAAAGGTAAATATAAATGTTATGTTTTAATATTGTTTAAGATTTGTGTATCAATTTTTTTAATAGAATTTATGTCCCCAGACTAATTTTCCTAGGAAATCTTGTCCAAGTCATGAATATGCCGAGTTAAAAACGTTTATGTCTTTTATTTAAAAGGAAAATTCTAATGAAACAAATTATTTATATGTAAACAATGGAAATTCAATTTTTATGTTTTAATATTGTTAAAGAGTTGTGCATTAATATCTTAATAAAATTCATGTCCCCAGACTAATTTTCCTAGAAAATCATGTCCATGTCATTAATATTCCTAGGTAAAAACGTCCATGTAGGGAACAAAATAAAACTTTCCCATCTTAACTAAGAAAATATGTTTTTTTTTTTATTTTCATTAATTTTTATAATATAATAAAAATTACTAGAAAAACTAGTCTTAGGACAATTTTTCCTAGGAAAATAAGTGCCAGACATATTTTACTAGCTATGGACTTATTTTCCTAGGAAAATTTGTCCTGGGACATACATTCCTAGTAAAATAATGGTCATGGACTTGATTAACTAGGAAAAAAAGTCTGGCGGACAAATTTTACTACCGGACCAAATTTACTGTTACACATTCTTCTTAAAGTAGTTTCACTGAAGAGAACTTATCAAAGACATACAAACTTTCCCAGCTGGTATTTGAAGAATAAAACTTAATTTTGCAGGATATTGTGTTTTTTGGTCGTATATATATATATATAAATATATATATGTATCTCAATAATATAATTTTCTACAAAATTGAAATTCTCTGAAACTTAACAGCAGTTTGTTCAATTTTGTTTCAAAATTTCTGTCATTTTGAAAAATGACTAGGTTTATTTAGTCATTTATTTTATAATGCCTGTCAAGGTTAGGCATTTATAAATAGTCTGATATTATTCAGTCATTTTACAAAATGCCTGAAACATATGTATTTAACAGTCTTTGCCAAAAACACAGCAAATTGCCAATGAATTACAGTGATTTCCAAGTGAAATAAAAATCTGACAATTTCACTCCTCTAACATCACACAACAATGGATGTTGTCAAAACTTTGTAGATGACGTTCCATCAAAACAATCGAGAACGTGCAGAAGTTATATAGTTACCTTCATTTTCTACTTTATTTCCACTAAATAGTCCAGGCCATGGGCAATGCAATAAAAGAATTAATCCACATTACTAGTCCCCCCCAAATCCTCCCTATATTATGCTCCTTATTCTATTTAGGGACTGTGTTACTATTACTTAAGTGCTCTCTCTTTTGGGGGCCAAACCAAACGCTGAAAAGATACAGTGCAAATGAAAGCATCTGTTTTACACTAATCAGAGATCAGTAAGGGGCCCAAGACATGTTAACCGGTTCTTGGTTAGAAGTATAAACTGAACAAACACAGGTCTGGGACAAAGAACCACAGTTTAATATTTTCTTTGCATATCAATAAAGCAATAAACATAATTACAAACAAAGCAAAATCAAGTTGAAAATCTGTGGTACTAGCTCCTAACACAAAGTACATGATAACTGTGAGTTCTTTTGAAAACATTACTACTCTACTTATGAACAATATATTATAATAAAAGGCTGAAATGACATAGCAATAAAGTAAAAACTATCCTCTAGGGAGCGGAGGGTGGGAATAAATTATTTCCCAGAAATATTTGAATGTCTGCTCAAAGCAAGCGTTGCTTTCAAAATAATTATGTGCTAGTGCCTAAAACAAAAGCCCTGTTAATTAAGCGCTGATTGGTTAATTCAAATGCAATGTTAATTTTGATTGGTTAGTAGTATGATCTCGAAAAAGCAATTCGTAAACGAGATTTCACATGCAGCAGTAACTGGGAAACCCCCACACTGATTGGACCAAATAATAGACAGGAATTCCCAATTAAAATTATATGTACAGGCATAGCACAAAAATGAATTGTGTATTAATAATCTATTTATACAAAATAGTTCCATGACTATAAATCCAAGAATTGAAATTGAAAAAACTCAACTCCTAACTGAACAACACTGATATGGTAATTAACTCTGACATTTTGAATTTATAGTGGTCTAGTCGTTCTGAAAGAACCTCAAATCAAAATACTCTATGTCTATCATTTACAGTTCATGAATTACACTTACATATCACTTATGTTAAATACAAAAGAGGAAATAACTCTCATATGGAGTCTATATGTATCGCTTCGGTCAAATTGAACAAGACACCCTGAAGATATATTAAACAAGTAATTTGGAAAAATAAATTAATCAGATTCTTATATGGTTGGGAAGGAAACAGTGTTTCAAAAAAAATTACTGAACTCCAAGGCAAATTCAAACGAGAATGTGTCCATTGTACACAGATGCCCCACTCATGCTATCATTTTCTATGTTCAGTGGACTGTAAAACTCTAATTTGGCATTAAAATTAGAAAGATCATATCATAGGGAACATGTGTACTAAGTTTCAAGTTGATTGGACTTCAACTTCATCAAAAACTACCTTGACCAAAAACTTAAATCTGAAGCGGGACAGACCGATGGACGGACGAATGAACGGACGCACAGACCGAAAAACATAATGCCCCTCTACTATCTTAGGTGGGGCATAAAAAGGGGAAGTCCATAAAAACTGACAAAATTGAACGCTATCAATCAACTCTTACAAAGAAAAGTGTTTGGTCAAACAGGGTGAGATTATCAACATCAAAATCAGGTTGATATCATATATTATACAATTTTAAAAGGATAAAAATTGCAAAAAATTAAAGTCTTTAAATTTAGTAATATATTATAGATGATGTTATGTACCTGCCGCTGGAGAACTGTTTTGGAGTACAAATGTATTTGTATGTTTGTGGACTTTAGCCGATTGAGCTTTGCATATAAACATATGATCTGTTGTTGAAGTCTGTACATTACCCTCTAGATCTCTTTTGCTTATTTTTTGTTGGTTTGTTTTTGTCTCATTAATTTACACCCAATATATTTTTTTATTCATATCAGATATTACTGGTGCTCTGCTTTAGTGAGTATTATGCATAGATGTCAAATGACAATACTTTTTTTCAGTTCTGGCCTACCAGTAAATATAAGTTTACCAATACAAGAACAAAATAACAACAGTGATCGTAATATTCACGAACCATTAGAAAATGCACCAGATATCAACAATAACCACATCCATGATATGGTCAGTGCAACTTACTCAAATGGAGATGACAGTATTGAAACATTACGATCTCAGCAACAGGATATTTCCATGGAAAGACCAGATATCCTTGAGACTGGGCTCAGTTACAAAAATCCACCGATAGAGCTTGTGATGGATGATGATCTAGATTCCTCTTTAACACATGATGGAAGTTTGTTAGAGCATATATCTCGACAGATAGCCATACAGCAGCCTTATTTAAACCCTGATAACAAGTAAGCATATGTATATATGTACATAATAACTGATTTGATAAAACAATTAAGATATAATTATGCATATTTAAGGTTTACAGGTTAATGGGTTTCTTCTTGACAACATTTATATTTTTTTTTAATGTTTCTGTTCTTGTGTTATATAAGTAGTAATAGAATACAGAAATATAATTGAAAAACGTTGTATATATAGTTCCTTATTGGTTGGAAAACTTGAAATATGTATTTTAAGGTGAATGTTCTGAGCTATTATATCTTGGCATTCATGACAGTTTTAAAAAAGTTTCTCCTCCAAAACCAATGAAAAAGAACATGGCCACTGTTATCAAAAATAGAAAATGATCACCAGATGGGAGTTAAACATGTTCTTGTTTATTAGCTCAAAAACTACAACATAAAAGAAACTTCCCCTCAAATCAATGTGAAGTTTTATTTTTTAAAATTTTTCATTTGCTTGTACTATGTAATCATCTGTTAGCTCCTTATACTTTTAGAAGTTATTGCCCTAAAATGAATATTTCGAACCAAATTTTTTTTTTTAAACATTGGAATACACTAAAATCATTTCGTGCTAAAATTATCAGCAATACATGATCTACATAAATGCTCAATGACTGAACACATCAACTGACTCCCTATAGAAGTTTTGTCCTTATAACTAATTGACAAATTTTGAAAAATTAACCTTTATCATTTTTGCAAGAATGATAGAAAGACAGTAATTGCTTAAGCAAAGATGAACAATAGAAGATATACAAAAATGCTCTATGAATGAAATAATAATCTGATATCAAAATAAGAAGATGTGGTTTGATTGCCAATCAGTCAACTCTATCAAATACCAAATGACAAAGAAGTTAGTAACTATAGGTCAGCCTATGGCCTTCAACGATGAGCAAATCTCATACCGCATAGCCAGCTATACTGGCAGGCTTCAGCATGACAAATGCAAAACAATTCAAACGAGAAATCTAACCGCCTGATTTATATGCACAAATCAATAAATGAAAAACTAATATTATATGTATACATCAACAAACTACAACAACAGAATTGCATGCTCCTGACTTGGAACAGGTGCATACATAATGTGGCATTGATAAACATGTTTGCGGTCGTAGAACCCTTCCCCTTAAGTTCGACAGTAGTTAACAGCACATAATAAGAACAAACTATAAAATCAGTTGAATTGGGCTAAACTAATCAGATAGATTCAAAAAAAAAACCCACTAAAAGTACAGATCTGCATGAGAGTACTAACAGTTACTGAAAGCTAGTTCATAGCCTATAACAACTAATATCATCATGAATCTAAGAGTAAAATATTGATCAGTACACATCAAATTTTGTGTAAAAACATCATTAATAGTCAAAGAAATGCATGATCTTGTGCAATGGGAAAATATAGGTTTCGACAAAATGTACGACCGTAAGTGTCAATAGGTGTATAGCAAACATATTTAGTTGGGTTTTGATTTATTGATAACAATATCAATAATTATAACCCTTTTTTAATAACTATTCAAATAAGTTTCTAGAGGTGCAGCCAAACTTCTTAACTAAATTTTTATATGACCGCAAAATATTTTTGCGGTCGTATATTGGTATCACGTCCGCGTCGTCCAAAGACATTTAGTTTCCGGGCAATAACTTTAGTTTAAGTGAATGGATCTCTATGAAATTGAAACATAAGGTTTGAAACCACAAAAGGAAGGTTGGGATTGATTTTGGGGGTTATGGTCCTAACAGTTTATGAATTAAGGGCCTAAAAAGGGGTCCAAATAAGCATTTTTCTAGTTTCCAGACATTAACTTGTGTGTAAGTGTATGGATCTTTCTGAAATTGTACCACAAGGTTTCATACAAAAAAAGGAAGGTAGGGATTGATTTTGGGGGTTATGGCCCTTACTGTTTAGGAATTAGGGACCAAAAAGGGGCAAAAAACAATACTTTTCTAATACTTTGTATAAATTGCTTATTTCTTGACCAATTTCAATGGGGTTTTATTCTTGAATTCTTGGGGTTCTTTAATATGCTGAATCTAACTGTGTATTAAGTTTTTGGATTTTGGGCCCCGTTTTTAATTTAGCCACATTGAGGTCCAAAGGGTCCAAAATTAAACTTTGTTTGATTTCATAAAAAAATGAATTATTGGGGGTTTTTGTTATGCCAAATCTAACCGTGTATTTAGATTTTTTATTTTTTGTCCCGTTTTCAAATTGGTCTACATTAAGGTCCAAAGGGTCCAAAATTAAACTTAGTTTGATTTTTAACAAAAATTGAATTCTTGGGGTTCTTTGATATGCTGAATCTAACCGTGTATTAAGTTTTTGGATTTTGGGCCCCGTTTTTAAATTGGTCAACATTGAGGTCCAAAGGGTCCAAAATTAAAATTTGTTTGATTTCATCAAAAATTGAATTATTGGGGTTTTTTGATATGCCTAATCTAACCGTGTATTTAGATTTTTAATTTTTGGTCCCATTTTCAAATTGGTCTACATTAAGGTCCAAAGGGTCCAAAATTAAACTAAGTTTGATTTTAACAAAAATTGAATACTTTGGGTTCTTTGATATGCTGAATCTAAACATGTAGTTAGACTTTTGATTATGGGCCCAGTTTTCAAGTTGGTCCAAATAGGGGTCCAAAATTAAACTTTGTTTGATTTCATAAAAAATTGAATATATGGGGTTCTTTAATATCTATCCTGAATCTAACTGTGTATTAAATTTTTTGATTTTGGGCCCCGTTTTCAAATTGGTCTACATTAAGGTCCAAAGGGTCCAAAATTAAACTTAGTTTGATTTTTACAAAAATTGAATTCTTGGGGTTCTTTGATATGCTGAATCTAAACATGTAGTTAGACTTTTGATTATGGGCCCAGTTTTCAAGTTGGTCTAAATCGGGGTCTAAAATTAAACTTTGTTTGATTTCAACTAAAATTGAATATATGGGGATCTTTGATATACTGAATCTAACCGTGTATTAAATTTTTTTGAATTTTGGACCACGTTTTTAAATTGGTCCACATTAAGGTCCAAAGGGTCCAAAATTTTTCATCAAAAATTGAATGATTGTGGTTCTTTGATATGCCGAATCTAACCGTGTATTAAGATTTTTAATTTTGGTCCCGTTTTCAAATTGGTCTGCATTAAGGTCCAAAGGGTCCAAAATTAACTTAGTTTCATTTCAACAAAAATTGAATTCTTGGGGTTCTTTGATATGCTGAATCTAAACATGTATTTAGATTTTTGATTATGGGCCCAGTTTTCAAGTTGGTCCAAATCGGGGTCCAAGATTAAACTTTGTTTGATTTCAACAAAAATTGAATGTATGGGGTTCTTTGATATGCTGAATCTAACCATGTATTTAGATTTTTTATTTTTGGGCCTCGTTATCAAATTGGTCTACATTGAGGTCAAAAGGGTCCAAAATTAAACTTTGTTTGATTTCATAAAAAATTGAATTCTTTGGGTTTTTTGATATGCTGAATCTAACCATGTATTTAGATTTTGGATATTGGACCATAATAGGTAAATGTCCAATATTAAATTTTTAAGTTCTTAGACCATATTCATTCTGTGTCAGAAACCTATGCTGTGTCAAATATTTAATCACAATCCAAATTCAGAGCTGTATCAAGCTTGAATGTTTTGTCCATACTTGCCCCAACTGTTCAGGGTTCGACCTCTGCGGTCGTATCAAGCTGCGCCCTGCGGAGCATTTTATAATATATATGTAGCATTTAGTAAAAGTTTTATAATAAGTAAATTTGAAATCCTTGACTTAATAATATACCAGTAATACATATATTCAACTTTCATTGAAATCCAAAATATCATTACTGACTCTGACATACCCAATGTGTTCATTGTTGGGATATTTAAACACTGTAAGGTGGGGCCAAAGGAACATCATTATCCAAAACAGGAAAATTAACATTAGGAAATGAAAAATTGTCTGTTTTGTCAAAATGTTTTGTAAAATGTTTCCCTCGTAAAACTGGAATATTTCATTATAGGAAATAAACTAGTGATATATACCATTTCCCATGCGAGGACAGCCAGGTGGCACTGCCCAAGGTTATTGCAGTCACATTGTTATCCGAGATGGTACATGCATTTTTATGAGATTGATTAGTTTTTCGACATTTTCATTGGAAATAATAATTTGTTGGACTTTTTATATTTTTCTTATCATTGTTAAACTTTTATGTTTGATGGATATGCTGTGAATTTTGTGTGATGGTTTGAAATTCGTGTAGATTGATTGGATAAATACTGGCATTGACCAAAGTGGTCTACACAATGGCGGATGAGAACATTGGTGAATCGAAATCTGAAAGGAACAATTTGGCCGAAATGGTGAAATGTCGCACAAAAGAATTGTATAAACTTAAATTGGGAAAGGTTTAGGAAACAGTGGGAAACCATGATACCGATAATAAAAATAGTATTTTAATGAATAGAAGTACAGATGCAGTGCGCATGTCCAGGAATCCTGAAAGTGAAAGCAAAACCACAGGTGGTGAAACTAACAATAACATTAACAGTCCAACAATGAAAGACGTCATGGGCAAATTTTCAAGCATGGAGATGTCACAAACAGAGATAATGGCTAACTTAGCTGTGAATATTCTGCAATTGCAGGATAAATTTGTTGGCAAAGAGCCTAGTAAATCGCTGTTTATGTTTGATTTGTTTAAAGTAAATTTCAGCAGAAGATATCGAGGATTCTTAATTATTAAAGGAAAAAAATGTCATCAAGATAACAGTAAGTGTTGTTGAATTTATCAATTAAATGGAATTATGAATGGTCTTTACTGAGTTTGTCCATACACTGTGATTCATAACAATACAATAATAAGTCGGCTATCAAATGGGTGAAATTGGTGCCTTTAGGAATACCAACAACCTGTCGATAAACTATATTGCTGAAACATAAATAGATGTTGTCAAAGAGAAAATTTACAGCTTTGAAAATCTGATCACACTTCCAGTATGTATCAATTGTATTTACCTTTTTCATTACAGGAGAAGGCTTCATATGAGAAAGATCGATGCAGCAGAAAAATCTGCTATCAGATTTTTCAAATCAACCTCCAATATATTGAATAGGAAAACTTTTGTTTGATAAGATTGTGTGGAAGTGTATTTTAGAGAGTTTAAAAGTCAAAACTTTTACACTACAAAAATATTTAATTCCACTATTTTTACATGCGCTTTATTACAAAAGTTAATGATTCATGTTTTGATGGAAGTTACGGTTGATTAACTGTAATAGCTGCCATCTTGGATTGTAAAATAGCAATACACAATCAATCTAGCTTTATGTTTAAATCTGCAAAGGAGAAGGTCCCATAGGGGCAAATATTGGCCTAAAATTTGAATAACATCTGATGAAAGATTTTAGATCTATTCCACTGTTTTTGTTTTAAAAAAAATGAAACATCGAAAATAAAGGGCCAAAAGTGAATGAGACATGAAGTTTGAAGAAAATCCTTTAACATTCCATTGAAACGACTAAAAAGTATGTGCGTATAGTCATCCGACTAAATTGCTGGCTATTATTATCCTGAAAATACGATAATAGTGAAATGAACGAGATTTGAACGTATTATTTCTATAATGCCAGCTAGAATCTGATTCAGACGTGTTACCACTACACTTGGTTATCAATTAACCTTACTGATCAGTGATGTATTTACACCTACTGCATAGATGATTTGTAACTTTTCTCCTCTTTTTCTTTTTGTAATCTGAGACTGGGACAAACTGACTTGCAAGAATTGTTTACTTTCACGTTTTTTCATTATAAATTTTGACGTTAATATTGAACAAAACTAGTTATGTAAACAGCGGAGGTGTTTTTTCTCATAGCCCAGTATTTTGTCCTAAATTTTTACATATGCTGAGTATTTTTTACTTGAATAGAAAAGTAATTTAATAATTATAACTATTTGTCTCTTTAATTTAAGAGGTGACTCAACCAGAGGGACAACTGAAAAATGACCTTTTTATCATGCGTGCCAATTGCATATGTTTTCACCATTTTAAGTGTTGATCTAAATCGATAAAACACTATCACCCTTGATATTAACAAAGATATTATAAAAAACAATTTAAAGAATGGTGACAAATCATTAAACAAAAAAACCTCACCTTTGGAAGTTTTCTTGCTTTAGTTGAGGGTGTCTTGTAGTCACAGCCACATGTGGATACTTTCTGCCCTTTATCCCTTTTGCTCCAATATTAATATTTTCAGATTATTTTGTTGTTGTTAATTTTAGGAGAATATTTTGTTTTTTGAGTGCCTCTGTCAACATGAGCCAATAGTTTCTTTTCTTAAAGACAAACCCTGTTGTTTGCCATCTTCATCACATTTTTTTACTGTGGCCCACCTTGGTGGAGGCCTTTAAAAACGAGGTATTTCAGTCTAGAAATTGACATTTTTCGATCTTTTGACGTATTCAAAGCACTTGAAGCAACCCAAAATCAGGTTTCTGCTTTACTGAATGATAAATTTGGATGTGCTTCTGAAGAACAGATATAAGCAAATCTTTTCCGATGCTTGTAACAAAATAGGGGGCCAAATATATCCCTTAGACTGTACCTTGTCTCGTAATATTATTAAACCTCCTCTAAATGCTATCTTTTTTTTACTTACTTACATAAGTTTTATGAAATTACTTTTTTTTTAAAACAATGCTATAATACTCTGGCCTATGTTAGTCTTGCATGTTTTTTAAATTTTGGTTCATTTATATGTTTTGGAGTTTAGTCCATTTTCACTGAACTAGTACACATTTTTGTTTATGGGTCAGCTAAAGACTGCATGCCTTCTGGTGAGGGATTTTCTTGATGTGTTGAAGACCCATTGGTGGGCTTGGACTGTTTTCTGCTCTTTGGTTGGATTGTTGTCTCTTTGAAACATTCCCCATTTCGGTTCTCAATTTTATAACAAATGTTTCTATTGGAACAAATATTCTATACCCTTTATTCCCTTTTACCAAGGAATAAATACTGTAAAATTTCTTCCAAAGGAAATATTTCTTCCATTTGGAACTAGTATTTTAACGACAGTAGAGGAACTTTTATTCCATGACAATACAACAGCTAGAAGAATACAATACCTGCATGAGGATGTGAATAAAGGAATATATTATTGTTCTACATGTCAAGGGGACTCTTGTCTCCTAAAAGTCTGTAAGATTGTTTTTGGTTATTGGTATTTTAGATATACTTATAGTATTGTAAGGCAGGGGTCATCATTTGTTACGGGTAAGTTAGCTTTTAGTTCTTTTTTTTTTTTCAGTGGCCAGCCTCTAACCTACCATATTGAAGAAATACCAATGGAAAATGTAGAAGCTTTAGGTGTGAGTGCTTCCCTAGGAGACAGTTTTACCATTGTTCCAAACATGATGAATCAACACCAGCACACATGGTTTGTACAAAATGTGTCTAATACTGTGGATTCATTTATTTTCAGGGGTATCAATTTTCGTGAATTATGAAACAATTGTATTTTTTGTGGATATTTGATATCATGGTTTTGCTCTGCAAAAAACGCGGAATTATTATACGAACACAAAAAATTTGTGTTCATATTATGTTATCATTTCGTCGTTGTTGTCCGAAGACACATTTGGTTTCTGGACAATAACTTTTGTTTTAAGTGAATGGATCTCTATGAAATTTTACCAGAAGGTTCAATACCACAAAAAGAAGGTTGGGATTGATTTTGGGGGTTATGGTACCAACAGTTCAGGAATTGGTGGCAAAAAAGGGGCCAAAAACAAGCATTGTTAGCTCACCTGGCCAGAAGGGCCAAGTGAGCTTTTCTCATCACTTGGAGTCCGTCGTCCGTCGTCGTTAACTTTTACAAAAATCTTCTCTGAAACTACAGGGCGAAATTTAACCAAACTTGGCCACAATCATCATTAGGGTATCTAGTTTTAAAAAATGTGTCCGATGACCCTGCCTGCCAACCAACATGGCTGACATGCCTAAAAATAGAACAAAGGGGTAAAATGCAGTTTTTATACGACTGCAAAAAAATTTTTGGGATCGTATGATGTCGTCTGCATCATCGTCCGAAGACACATTGGTTTCCGGACAATAACTTAAGTTAAAGGGAATGGATCTCTATGAAATTTTTTAAGAAGGTTCAATACCACATAAGGAAGGTTGGGATTGATTTTGGGGATGATGGTCCCAACCGTTTAGGAAAAAGGGGCCCAAAACAATAAAATAAAATTGAGAATGGAAATGGGGAATGTGTCAAAGAGACAACAACCCGACCACAGAACAGACAACAGCAGAAGGCCACCAACAGGTCTTCAATGCAGCGAGAAATTCCCGCACCCGGAGGCGTCCTTCAGCTGGCCCCTAAACAAATATATATACTAGTTCAGTGATAATGAACGCCATACTAAACTCCAAATTGTACACAAGAAACTAAAATTAAAAATAATACAAGACTAACAAAGGCTAGAGGCTCCTGACTTGGGACAGGCGCAAAAATGCGGCGGGGTTAAACATGTTTATGAGATCTCAACCCTCCCCCTATACCTCTAGCCAATGTAGAAAAGTAAACGCATAACAATACGCACATTAAAATTCAGTTCAAGAGAAGTCCGAGTCTGATGTCAGAAGATGTAACCAAAGAAAATAAACAAAATGACAATAATACATAAATAACAACAGACTACTAGCAGTTAACTGACATGCCAGCTCCAGACTTCAATTAAACTGATTGAAAGATTATGTCTTCATCATATGAATATCAGGCACAATCCTTCCCGTTAGGGGTTTAGTATCATACCATCATAAGCATTTTTCTAGTTTCATAGTTTCAGGATAATAACTTGTGTATAAGTATTTCGATTGCTCTGAAATTGTACCACAATGATTAATACCACAAGTAGAAGGTTGGGATTCATTAAAGGGGTTATGGGGCCAACAATTTAGGAATTAAGGGCCAAAAAGTGGGGGGGGGATTTTTTTTCCCAATTTTTTTAGGGGATTCATATTTTTTTTTCAAAATTTTTCAAGTTTTGAAATTTTGAAAAGTTTTAAGAAGAAATCTTCTATTGCACAGTATTGGGCAATAAGATCTTTGACCACATTTATTTTGTGTCAGAAACTTATATTATGTCAAAAATTTTATCACAATCCAAATTCAGACAGTATCAAGCTTGAATATTGTGTCCAAATTTGCCCCAACTGTTCAAGGTTCAACCTCTGCGGTCATATCAGGCTGTGCTCAGCGAAGCATTTTATTGGCTTATGTCTGAAACTAAAGCATTTAGAGCAAAGTGACATGGGGTAAAAATGTTCATCAGGTTAAGATCTATCTGCCCTGTGATTTTTAGACGAATCAGACAACCTGTTGTTGGGTTGCTGCCCCTGAATTGGTAATTTTAAGAAAATTTTGCAGTTTTTGGTTATTATCTTAAATATTATTATAGATAGAGATAAATGTAAACAGCAATAATGTTTAGCAAAGTACAATCTACAAATAAGTCAATATGACCAAAATTTTCAATTGACCCCTTAAGGAGTTATTGCCCTTTATAGTCAATTTTTTTCGTAAATTTTTGCAATCTTTTACAAAAATCTTCTCCACTTAATCTATTGGGCCAAATAGAATTAAACTTAGCCACAATTTTCAATAGGGTATCTTGATTGAAAAATATATCCGATGACCCTGCCATCCAACCAACATGGGCACCATGGCTAAAAATATAACAGGGATTTACTATAGAAGTCTAAGAGAAAATTGTAAAAAAACAAATTCAAATGGTCACAACATGAAAACGAATTTAAATAATGATAAGGGGTCTTCAGTAACTATTGTAAGTCTAGTTACGAGTGGGATGACCTGCTTTTAATTTAACTACTGGGCCAAATTAAACCAAACTTGGCCTCAATCATTATTAGGGTATCTAGTACTATTTATTATGATTTAAACCTTATTTTACATGATTTCCAAAACCACAGTAGATACAGGTGAGTGACACAGGCTCTTGAGAGCCTCTAGTTCTAGTTTCCAGACAATAACTTGTGTTTAAGTATATGGATCTTTCTGAAATTGTACTACAAATTTCCATACCACAAAGGGAAGGTTGGGATTGAGTTTGGGGGTAATTGCTCCAAACGTTTAGAAATTAGGGGCCAAAACAAGCAAATTGTTTGGAATTTTTTTTTTCATATTTTTTTGGGTTTTTTTTTTCCAAAAAATTTTCTGATTTATATATAAAAGCACTGTATTGCACAATGTCACAGTATAGCGCAATAGCAAGAAATCTTCAATTGAAAATAGATACAAATCTTTTATCCAATTTCAATGGGATTAATTTAAAGTCTTTAATTTTTGGGGGTTCTATAACCTTGTATTAGGCCAAAAAAAAATATATGTCTGTTTACGGTTACCTGACCGACCCTACTTTTGAGTGCCTACCCTAAGTCATTTTATTTCCGTTGTAAAGTGAAAAATAAACTGAACTCGTGTCAAAAGCGAAGTTAGTGTTGCCGATAATAAAAATCAATTGCCTGATACATCCCAATGTTCACAATCGTGAATATGACAGCTGTTTTAAGGAAATTCACGACTCGTGTGATGAAATAAACACTTTGCCGCCATTTTGTTCCAACCAATAACCAAGGGAAATAATCCAATCATTAAAATAATGGGTAAAATCGGCCCGTGATCAACTCGGACCACGACAAGACGAAACCGCATGACTCAAAATTATGTCACAAAAAATAAAATGAAAAAATAAAATAAAATGTAAATACCGATCTACCTACCCTATTTTTGTCGAGCCTGTGACTTTTGTCGCAGAAAGCTCGACATAGGGATAGTGATCCGGCGGCGGCGGCGGCGTTAGCGAACTTTTTAAAAGCTTTTAATTTTAGAAGCTAGAAGACCTGGATGCTTCATACTTTGTATATAGATGCCTCATGTTACGAAGTTTCCGTCAGTCACATGTCCAATGTCCTTGACCTCATTTTCATGGTTCAGTGACTACTTGAAAAAAAAGTTCAGATTTTTTGTTACATTTAATTCTCTCTTATTAAAAGTAATAGGATAACTATATTTGGTATGTGCGTACCTTACAAGGTCCTCATCCCCGTCAGACAGTTTTCACTTGACCTCGACCTCATTTCATGGATCAGTGAACAAGGTTAAGTTTTGGTGGTCAAGTCCATATCTCAGATACTATAAGCAATAGGTCTTGTATATTCGGTGTATGGAAGGACTATAAGGTGTACATGTCCAACTGGCAGGTGTCATCTGACCTTGACCCCATTTTCATGGTTCAGTGGTTATAGTTAAGTTTTTGTGTTTTGGTCTGTTTTTCTTATACTGTATGCAATAGGTCTACTATATTTGGTGTATGGAATGATAGTATGGTGTACATGTCTAGCTGGCAGGTTTCATCTGACCTTGACCTCATTTTCATGGTTCAGTGGTCAAAGTTAAGTTTTTGAGTTTTGGTCTTTTTTTCTAATACTATATGCAATAGGTCAACTATATTTGGTATATGGAAATATTTTATGATCTATATGTCGGTCGCACAGGTTTTATTTGACCTTGACCTCATTTTCACGGTTCATTGCTCAGTGTTAAGTTTTTGTGTTGTGGTCTGTTTTTCTTAAACTATAAGCAATAGGTCAACTATATTTGTTGTATGGAAGAATTGTTAGCTGTACATGTCTGCCTGGCATGGTTCATCTGACCTTGAACTCATTTTCATGGTTCATTGGTCAATGTTTAGTTTTTTGGTTAATGTTAAGTTTATGTGACAGTTGTAATAAAGCTTTATATTTAGGACTATCAACATAATATCAATGATTAATAAAGAAGGCGAGACATTTCAGCGTGTGCACTCTTGTTTTAAAGTATGTAACCTTAAATAGACATATAATTTTTTTTGGCCTTACTAGTTTGGATATTGGGCCGCATTTTTAAATTGGTCTACATTGAGGTTCAAAGGGTCCAAAATTGAATTATTGCGGCTCTATGATATGCTGAATCTTATTGTGCATTCAGATTTTTTATTTTGGTCCCTGTTTTCAAATTAGTCCATATTATGGTTTGAAGGGTCCAAAATTAAAATTTGTTTGATTTCAACTAAATTAAATTTTTGTTGTTTTTTATGCCCCACCTAGGTGCATTATGTTTTCTTTATGTCTGTGCGTCCTTTCTTCCTTCCGTCTGTTTGTCCGTCTGTCCTGCTTCAGGTTAAAGTTTTTGGTCAAGTTAGTTTTTGATGAAGTTGAAGTCCAATCAACTTGAAACTTAGTACATATGTTCCCTGTGATATAATCTTTCTAATTTTAATGCCAAATTATAGTTTTGACCCCAATTTCATGGTCCACTAAACATGGAAAATGATAGTGCGAGTCGCGCATCCGTGTACTTGTGCATCTTGTTTAAACCCCCTTTGACCACATTTATTTTGTGTCAGAAACCTATATTATGTCAAAAATTTGATTACTTGCCCCAACAGGGATCGACCTCTGTGGTTGTATCAGGCTGCGCTCAGTGAAGCATTTTATTTGAATCTGGAATAAATTTGAATTCATGGCTAAAAAAGGAGGGGGTCAGTTGGGTCATTCATACTGAAATTTCAATGAAAGCATGGCCAACCGTCATTAGTTTGGCTAGTTTTCATGAAACATTTCTTATCAATTTTCTAGAATTCATTCATTCAGTAATTCCCATAATCTTTTTTTTCAAATATTTTTATGATATCAAAATGGAATATTAATATATTCATTTATCTAACTCCTTTTATTTATTGAATTCAAGTAGAGTTAAAACAACAATCTTTATATAAAAAAATATGTAATATTATTTTTCCCAAGGTCAAGATTGAAGAAATAGATGTGTTAGGGGCAATAAGTGAAATTAGGCATTAAGCTTAAATCCTATGTTAGACATTATTCTTAAATCCTAGGATAATAAACTAGAGGCTTTAATTAAGAACCTGTGTCGCTCACCTTGGTCTATATGCATATTTAACAAAGGACACTCTCAAACATGGTAGGAAAGAATATAATTCATGACAAAAATCTCTGTTTTGTTGATCTTGTATTACTGATCATTTAGTCTGTTTTGTTGCTCTCTATCTTCTTCAAACACAAAAGAGGGCAATCACTCCTATGAAGAGTAACAGTCTACTAACTATATCGGCAAAATTTGACTTTTTTGTAGATTTTGCATTGTTGATCATTTTTTATATTGAAGTGTCTATTTATCTGTCATAACTTAAATCATATATAAAGTCAAAACGGGAGAAAAAAATGGCAAAAATCGTCATTAAAGGGCAATAACTCAAATAAGGAGGCGTTGTATGATTTCCACCAAATTATCTCAAGTGTAGATTTTGTCTTGCTGATCATTTTTGCTTATAAAAGTTTCCATCTAACTATTATGATTTTTAAGATATAGGACAAAAACACAAAAAATTGTTAAAATTGTCATGGTCTCAGTTATGCTTGGTTTCCGCCTGGACATTCATTCCCTAACACTGCAATGATACAAGGATATAGTATGATTTTTACGCCTGGTTTCCGTCTCATTTACAGGCATCACATTTCGTACAGGGGTCACTTGATTTTAAGCATCATAGATAATTAGCAATTGTTTAGCTTTTTAACAATACATATAAGATTATTTGAGAGAATTATTACAGCATTGTGCAATACTCAAATAGCTGGTAATATTTTGAATTTAATTCTATTGAAATAATTTAAACAGGTTTCAGACACCACATCAGCAAGTTGAACTACGAGGTTCATCACAGAATAAGATTTATGAACCAGTCACAATGTACACTCCAACTAATCATCATAAACAGGTTGGTAATATTTTCTGAGTTCATATTTATTATACCCCAAACCCCTGCTCCAATGGTTTATCTGTGTCAGTTTCTTCAAATTTTGTATCAAACTTCATATTATTGAAAAGTTAAACAATGTGACATTTTCAGATCAATTGCTTATTTATTATATGATTGCTGCAACTAAAATTAATTAGTAGATTTTCAGCGAACTTTTTGACAAAAATGGGTGGGTGGGAGGATTTTATTTTTTATTTTTCTAAATTGCCACACTTTCGTAATGTATTCTTCATATGCAAGTAATAATAAGCTTATATCAAGTATATATATAGAATTCTACACACTTTTTCAAATTTTAAATTAAACATTTCGGATTGGGAATCACTGTTCATATTAGAAACCAACTTACAGTTAATAGAAAAACATTACAAGAAATGCTCTCTTTTAGACTGCCTACATCAACTTTATTTTGCCTTCTATGCTAGCTTAAATATGGTTTATTGTGCCCATAAAATAAAACCTTCATGTATGCATTGGTAAGAAACACAAGTATTATGAGTAGAGTAAAATGAAAACTCAAATTGTGTTGAAAATACTAGGTTTGATTGCTTTTAAGATTGTCAACAAAAAGGGACAGTCATGGGGTAAATCTTGCTATATATGTTGGAGAACTTTTTGTTTTAAAGTCAATGTTATTATTGATTGTTGGTGGCTTAACAGCCATGGCAAATATTTCATGCATGTTCAGGACGAAAACAAATAAACAATAAATACAGTAGGTAGGTCCAGTAATAGAGGCTGTCTGTGATGAAGTTCTGGGGGTTTAGACTGCCAATGGAAAATGAGGGTATATTGGATAGGGACAGAAATATTACCTTGCAACAGGCCACCTATGGACCCTCACAAAGTTGTTACAAGGGTTCTTATCCTGCAGAGAGCATTGCATTCTTTCTACACAAAACATCAGAGTTAACGTCCCCGTTTTGTTCGGACATGGCTGCATTGTTGTACGTCATGCAAGCCAAATAGACACCAAACTTTGGCAAGGTTTTTACTGCCGGTCTAAAGAAGACCTGTTGTGACCATATTTATTTTTCCCTGGTCACCCTTGGGCGGTTCTCAAGTCAATATACAGTCCTAAGCAACTAGTGTAAATTGTAAAGCACAAGATCATTTGCATCAATTTCTTTATTTCAATCATGTTTTACACATATGTGTGTCATGATTATTACGCTTTGAATAGCATTCACAGTCCAAATTTTCTTTCACAAACTCTTTGTATTGTTAAAATAAAACTAAAAAAGTTTTTCTAATCACTGAAATTTGTGACATATTAACATTATTTGGGTTTTGTTGACACCGCTTATTTCTTGCACTCGAATACATCAGGCCTTTCCTGTAATTAATCTCTGTTCTTGGAAGATATTGACTGAATTATTTGGGTTAAATTACTCAGAAGAAATACGAAATCCGTATTTTGAAACATGAAGTTTTGAATGAAACGAAGTTGTTAGCATGTACGGTTAACGGAAATAGAAACAAAAAAATCCAGAAATCATATATTTTTTTTTTAAATAAAAAAAATCTGGGCGGGCAAGGATGAAAAATCTATCAATTAATTTTAATTGGCCTAATCAGATCAATTTAATAAGTAATTCACATTTGCCAGATAAATGAATGCATATATGTTCTTTATATAGAAAATTTTTACTGCATTTTTTATTTGCAACTATTTGATACCAATTAAGTTTAATATTTGTTGTGCAAAACTGATGAAGTGTGCTTTAATATATCAACTTTCTTTTGTTGCTTCCCAATAATTATGACTCCCACAATGAATTAGGGCCCTATATCAAGTTAGGCTCCCGCATATAAATTCAAGGTGTTGCAAGCTGATTATTTTTTTTTTATCATTTTTTGCCATGCACTGTAGCTTGCCATCCATTTTTAAAAATAGGACAAGGTTGAAAGTGTGTGGTGACTCTTGTCTGCATAGCTGGTTTAAGGTATCTGGACCATGATAAATGTTTATAGTAATTACAAATATGCACTATAACTTGGCTATGCCAATCTTTTGCTGGAAGACATGATTTTTTTTATGTTATGTAGCATATTTTCCATTCTTATACATGTAGCAGCAAAAGGTTAAAAGAAAGTGCCTTATAAACTAGAGAAATATGAAAATTTCATAATTTATGCAATAAAAATTCATCAAAATGTACTATTTTTTGTTGTAACATGCAAGAGGTAAATGGGAATTTCATGTAATTATTAGGTCTTTCCACTTTTCCGTGGAAAGACCTATTGATTTTGTTCTGATTATTATTTTTTTTTTGTTTTTCTTCCGCCTAATTTTTTTCTTGCGTAGTATTGTTGTTTCACAAGATGTCGCTTAGATATTTGGTATATGCTATCGAACAGTTTATACGCTTTTAAAACTGACACTGTTTAACCGAACACTTTACGTTGTAAGAGTTATCTCCCCAAACACTGTTTTTCTTGTGGCCACTACTCCTTTGCAACCGTAAAAGATTACGACAAATTTATTTTACCAAATTGCTCGTAACATTTTCAGGATAAGGCTGACCATTTGGACCGAAGCTATCTGGAGACTCCATATGAGAGTTATTTCCCCTTATGCATTTGATATAAGTGATATGCATTTCTAACTAGTAAACCATAGGTGATATAGACCTAGGGTCTTTTGATTTGAGGTCCTTGGTCCAAAAAAAGGTCAAGGTCATATTCTCAATTTTGATTTTGGCTTATTATCACTTATTTTCAAATACCGTACAAGATATCAGATATCGACAAATTATTTTTACTAAATTGTTAGTTGCGACATGTCGTAAATTTTGATTGCAAGGGTATGTTGACCGTCAATGGGAGTTTTCTCCCTTTTATACATGTATACTTAAAATTACCTGTATGGTGGTATAACTCATTTACCAAGTATAATAAAGACCTAGGGTAATTTGATTTAAGGTCCTTGGTTTATGACCTTGAAATTGAGCTCAAGGTCAAAGTTGAATTTGACGTTCTAGATTTTGACCTTTGCTTTTACCTCATATGTATACATGATAAAGCCATGGGACTTTTTGCGTTAGGTTGCAAGCCATTTGGCCTTGGAAAATCCAACCGGAAGTGACCTTGTGTAAACCGGAAGTAGCTATTTTTTATACTTATTTAATATAAAAGTATGTAGAACCATATATTTTTGGAATCAGTGTCAAGTAAACATTCAAATTATACCGGAAGTAACATTTTCAAACCGGAAGTGACAAATTATCTCCCTTATTTAAAAAAAATGTATAGAAACCATATAATTTTGGAATCAGCATACAATAAGCTATCAATTGACGCTGGAAATGACATTTTAAACCAAAGTTTAATATTTCCATATCAAAATAGATCTTTATGTGTGGAAAGACCTTCAATTGTTCTCTGAACAATTGGTTTTTAATTAGGTCTTTCCACTTTTCTGTGGAAAGACCTATTGGTTTTCTTCTGATTATTTTTTTTTTTTTTTCTTCCGCCTAATTTTGTTCTTGCGATAAATATTTGTTTGGCAATATGTTGCTTAGATATTTGGTATATGATATCGAACAGTTTATGCGCCTTTGAAATTGACCCTGCGAAACCAAATAATTTCCTTTGTAGGAGTTATCTCCCCGAACACTGTTTTCCTTGTGCACGCATCTCCTCCGTAACCGTAAAAGAAAGCGACAAATTTATTTTACCAAATTGCTCGTTATATCCTCAGGATGTTTTGTCCAATTTTGACCGAAGCGATACGTAAACTCCATATGAGAGTTATTTCCCCTTCTGTATTTGACATAAGGGATATATAAATGTATAGCATGAATGGTAAGTGATAGAGACCTAAGGTATATTGATTTGAGTTCCTTGGTTCATTTAAATGAAATTGAGGCCAAGGTCAAAGGTCAAGGTCATATTCTAAATTTTGACTTTTCCTTGTTATTTGATCTCCTCTGTCGCTTTTAAAATTACAAATTAATGAACTAGTGCAAAATATTTGCTTAATTGTGATTAAGATATGATACATTTGGTCTGAAATAATCCAATGATATCTTATATGAGTTATTGTCCCTGAAATGATTCAATTTAAGGTTAATTGATTATTACTCCAACTTGGTACATGATAAAGTCATATAATCTTTTGCAAAATGTTGGGTGACATATGACCTTGAAAAATGTCAACCGGAAGTGACCTTGAGTGAACCAGAAGTAGTCATTTTTGCACTTATTTCATGTAGAAGTACATAGAAACCATATATTTTTTGAATGGTCATACATTAATCTATCATTTGAGACAGGAAGTGATATTTTATAAACCGGAAGTAGCATATTATCTCCCTTATTACAGGCATAAGTATATATAAACCATATATTTTTGGAATCAGTGTGAATAAAGCTATCATATGAGACCGGAAGTGACATTTTCTAAACCGGAAGTTGGCAGTTATCTCCCTTATTTCAGGCAAAAGTATATAAAAACCATTTATTTATTGTATCAGTATGAAGAAATCTATACTTTGACGCTATTTATAACTTTGAGTAAACCAGAAGTAGCTTCCTATCAATTATTTAGAAAATTGATTTGGAAAGACCTTCAATTGTTCTTTGAACAATTGGTTTTTAATTTTTTTTTTTTTTTTTTTTTTCTTCCGCCTAATTTTTTTCTTGCGTAGTATTGTTGTTTCATAAGATATCACTTAGATATTTGGTATGTGATATCGAACAGTTTATACACTTTTGAAACTGACAACCGCTTAACCGAATACTTTACGTTGTAAGAGTTATCTCCCCAAACACTGTTTTTCTTGTGGCCACTACTCCTTCGCAACCGTAAAAGATTACGACAAATTTATTTTACCAAATTGCTCGCTATATCGTCAGGATGTTGAGTTTGGTTTTCATCGAAGCGTTCCGGAGACTCCATATGAGAGTTATTTCCCCTTATGCATTTGATATAAGTGATATGCATTTCTAACTGG